TTTTTGCATACTTGGCATTATACTTTCGGCGGTGGTCCGGGGTTACTTCCTATGATACCCGCCTGTAAGAGCAGGTGGTTAGGTTTACCCGGACCAGTATTCAAAAATCCGGCACCATAACCATAACACCTTGTGTTTCCATCGGAGTCGACTTTTCCCATGTCGAGTTCCTCGGGTTGCTGCCGTGGCAGTCCTCCTTCGCCTTCCATCCTCCTTTGTGTGGCTTTTCTTCCGGCAATGAAAACGCTCATGCCGGTGGTTGTGTTGTTGGACGTGCTCTCCTCAATTTGAACATCATTAGAGACTAAAACTTGGAAATTTGTGCAGATGTGATAAATCGTGACTTTAAAAATATTTTATTTCTTTCCCCGATTTAATGGCAGTGACTTTTTCGGCTAGCTTGCAATGCTTTGCTTTGTATCCTAAATGATACGAAGCTCCACTTCGCCTGTGTTATAATATATTCAGCCCTTTTAATTAGCGATTCTTGAAGAAGCCCCCTGTGAACGTCTGGCGTTTCTGTTATATTAAGCCTTGATTTTCAAAATTGAGCAGGCCAATTTAACAAAGATTACAAGTATTTTTTTGTTTACTCTGAAGTATGATTAAACAAAATGAATGCGTCGGAAGTTCGTTTGCTTAGCGCTTAATCCATCGAAGCGAATCAAAAGGCAACGTTTGCACTCAATAGTACGGAGTTCGGGGATCAGGGGTGAATATAGTACGGAGTTCGGGGATCAGGGGTGAATATATCATTGTAAATTTGACAAATATTTGTTCGGTTTTTAGATTCTTGTCCACGAAGCAATGGATGAGTGAAATCTTGTTTCTTAATATAGCCAAGTTTTTTAGTTGTGTCAAGTTCATTTTCTCGGTAGAAAAAGTTATCAAGGTTGCTGTGAATCATTGTTTTAGCGCTGGGCGTGTGTGTTGAAAAATGAAGGTCATTCAATTTATCCGTGGTTCAATTTAACCGATGATGATGTTTTCTCATAAAAGCTATGTATGAAGTGAAATCGGGTAATACGGATCTGAAATGTGATCTCTAGATATGTGTCCTCTCGAAAAATGGTATAAGTAGGAGCATTGAATGAGGAAATGCTTTGCGTGCGTTCAATCATATACAATCCTATTTCAGGAATCGATAAAACTCTCTAATAATGACCCTTATTTTTTCAAGTGAATCATTGGTAACTTCCCAAATGGCATAATTCCCAAATGGCATAAAAATGAAACTTGTCCCAAATGGCATAAATTTCAAGTTTTCTTTGCAATTCAAACTGGCTATCAATTTCAAATTCTAACATTTTGTCAGGAACGAAAACATGTGAACAAGATTTGGAATTAATTGCTTCTAAATTAATGTTGAGCGACAATTGACCACAAGAAGCTTATCAATAACCGCAAGCTTATGCTTTTCACTTTTGTTAAAAATTTCTACAATTTTTTCAAGATAAAAAGTCAATCAGCATTTAAATTGACAACTTGGCCACATTGTTCACGAAAGAGTTATTTCGATTTTCTAAATGCAACTGTTGCATGAAATTTATTCCATATGGGAAACTTTTCATTTTAATGCCATTTGGGAATTATGCCATTTGAGACGTAATCGAATCATTTCGGGCTCTTATCTCCTACCATCTGCGAAATTTTATAGGTAGCCTTTTTTTTCTTTTTTTTCGATTGTTGCAAAATTTCGGAAGCTGATTAATTAGGCCATGGCAAACATATTTGGTCCTCATACTTAACCTTGTATAACTAACCGTTAGACGAGAAAATTGATGCTTATGTGAGGTACGGGAAAAGGAAAAAGAGCCTATTTGAGTATCACCTAATTAATCAATCAGAAATTTAAATTTAGTAAAGTGGCTTCAAGACAAGGTTGGAAGGTATGAACAATCTATTTAACTATCACACCACCCCCCCCCCCCGCCATTTCATTATAGTGTATCGTTACTAGGTACCAAAGGGGGATAGTTCAAGAGATCCATTATGTAATATTACCATTATGGGCAGTCATGCTCAAAAAATTTAAGCTCGAATTTCAATTGACGATTTTATTTAGTGTTTACAATCCAAAACATTGATTGGGATACAGAAAAATTTGAGCTTGGAAGTACCATTTTACTTGGAAATTTTTGGCTGATAACGAGTGTTAAATTAAAATGGAAATTTGCCCAAAATATGAATTGAAAGACAATTTAAGACTCATTTGGGCTTTTATTTCTGAAAATTTTGTAGAGAAAACAGCAAAAAATTAGAGAAACGAGACGGTTTGAAGCTTAATTAATCAAACTGCTTCGTTTTGGCTTTAGTCTAGTACTGTTTTCCCTTTCGTAGTAACATTTATTCAATTTTTTCGTGAAAAAAAATAATCCTTTTCTTTTTTCACCATATATGGGGGTATAAACGAAAAGACCCAAATTCAGTCTGCACTGTTTGAAGTTCCCGGCAGCCATTTAAAATTCAATGATTTTTTTGCCTCTAGAGCTTTTTTTGGGTTTTTGGACAAAAGTGTTCCGGTCATTGCGTTATAAATTCCAATTTCAAAATCGGGAAAATGCGTTGAATTCAAAGTCAAGAGAAATGTAAGTCTGAAGTTGGATACTTTGTAAAATGCTATCAAACGGGGTCTGGTCTGGACGGTGAAGAAAAATCCACTTTTTTCTTGCTTTTTTGAAATGCACTAGTGATAGTTTTTTAAAATCTTGTAGGTCCAGAATCTTTTTAGCTCGAAAAATCTAGGTAACATGATAGTGAAAGACGAAATCCATACTGTTTGAGTTTTCTATAGGAGATTCAAGTCTTATGGCAAATAAGCTTCCTTCAGCTCGAAAAATCTAGGTAACATGATAGTGAAAGACGAAATCCATACTGTTTGAGTTTTCTATAGGAGATTCAAGTCTTTAATCTTTCACAACTCCTCTCGGTTTTTTAGATTTGACATTTTTGGACCAAGTTATTATCCTCACAGCCCAATCCCCCCAAGCCGTTAGAGAGAGGATGTAACTTGGTTCTGAGATCGAATTTTCAGCCTATCAGAATCCAGCATTTTACACGCTGCGCTCAGCAAAATTAAATTAAATTGAACGGCGCTGGGTGGAGGATCTTAACTTGGTCGATAATGGGGTGAGGGAGGGAGGATGTTAACTTGATCCAATTTTTTCATATAAAGGTTAACTTATATCACAACAGCTTGTTTACGGCTAATTTGAATCCTTTTTGTCACATCCGACAAAAGGTACCCCGAGAAGTTTCGTGATTTTTTAGAGTAATAAACGTAGTGAAAACTTATAAAGGTATTGCTGATTTTTTTTGTTTTTTTTTTCAGGAAAAGTCTCTAATAACTACAGATGTGCATTCATACACATTGATGCATTTATGAATGCACTTAGGTATATATGCACTTTTTGAGTTCAATTGAAAATCATCTGCTGAAAGTTGTAACTAGCACTCTCCAAATACGAACGTGAAAATGGTGCAAAAAACGTGAACGATATCTAGTTTCGAAAGTGGAATTTAATTTTTAGATTTCCAGCGGAATAAAAACTTTACCTATTGATCCAGTTTTCTCTAGCTGGTCTCATGTTATCAAAAAAGCGCCATAGAGAAATTGTACTGAAAATTCAAAGTTTGAAGGGCTTTCATTTTATTCTTTGAAATTCAAAAGTTGAAATTGTTTTTTTTGTTTAATTGCGTGCATTACTCTTTTCCAATCTTCGATTGGCTATGTTTACTCAAGCAATGCTTGTGTTATAGTCTGAACTATCTTTTTTTCCAACCTAAGTCGCAAATATTGTCGTGACGCAAATATTGTTGCGATAAAATGTGTTCATTTTGAAAGTGTTCAGTTCGATCAATAACCAGCTATTAAGTACAGCCAATGCTAAGGATATTAACACAGACTATTATTGTTCCGAGTTTCGTAACGAAAACAGAGGATTATTTGTGCTAGAGGTGGTTTTTTTTTCAGACAAATTTTGGCTTTTTAACAAGCCATTTTTGACGCGATTTTTTATATCATTCAAGAAGTATTGTTGTCCTGAGCCTAAATTTGGAAAGATATTTCACCTGTGATCAATTTTTGTAAAGTTATGGAGGTCAAAAGATTGCCATTTCGGTGAATTTGGGACAATTAACGCGCGATATATTTAGCGCTATTAACGCGTAAGCGGATATTTAATCCGTCATTGAAATCGTTCCAAATTGGTTGAAGGAAGCTTATTTGCCATAATTGATTTGTTACTAGGAGCGAAATGTATCACTTTGTACTTAATATTGTGTGGGGTGATGATTTTCACAAAAATCTCAAATTAAAAAATTCTTTTCTTTTTATTTCATTTTTTTTTCGTGTTATTACTGCACCATAGGCTGCTCTATATTAGTTTTGACTATTTGTTTTAATTTGCCGTAGTTTTATGTGGAACTGGGATTTCAGAGAAGCATGATGTTTTCAAAATGTGCTCTTTTTCTTTTTAATTCAAATTGCCTCGTTTTCTGATTGCTGAATTCTTCTTTCAGAACTAGCGGCTAAGTAACATAATTATCATATTATTATAACGAGCTTTTTCTGCGGCTCGAAATTGCTATGAAGCACCGCTTCAATTCTGTAAAGATTTTTGCTGTCTCGTTTTTATTATTTGGCACGATATGATTCAATTATGTTTTTCAGTTTTCGGAGTGAATGAAGTTTGTTGTTTGTATGAATAAACTTACTTGCAGCGAGTAAGTGTGGATCTTGTTTGGAGGTCCAATATGGTGTGTTTGTGAAGAAATTAATTTACATATGAGGTTATATTTCATTCAAGCTCTCACTTGTTTCTTGTTTTCATTTCTGAAATGCTCAATTGGCCGAAAAAATGTGCCATTTAAAACATGAGTACGGAAACAAAGAGTTACGGCAATCTATTTTTGGAACTTCTAATAGTATAGTTTTTTCGTTCTTAATTAGTTTATGCTTACTTTTATTTTTTGTTTCACCGGTCGCTTTTGTTGGTAGACTCTGAGAGATATGATCGAGTTTCTGGTTTGATCGTCGATACAAAACGTGGTCTAATTTTGATCTAGCTCATGATGCCTGACCAAGTTTGCTGTGATGCAATTGGCTAAAATGTAGTCACACCGGCTAATTCGTCTCAATTCTTTGCTCTATTGGTATACTACAGCACAGCATAAGAGTATTAAAGTAAATCAACCTCTTAATCTTACTTGAGTGGTACCTAAACCGTACCATGATGAAAAGCGACGCTGAAGGATGCGGAATAGTTTTGTATTCTTACTTGAGTTAGAAAAGAAGACTCGGCGGTGAACGAAGTACAAATACTTTTCTCTCTCTCTTTTTTTACTATTTCCCAAGCGACCAATTGTATGCTCTAGCTTACACTGATACAAACTCCCTTCCTGTTGTCACGTTTACACCAGGGGAATAGACTGAACCTTTCTATACCCGTGGAAAAATTTTGAAACCTCAAGGTTGTTATTGTGCTCCACAATACTGCTTCAATTTCTATTTCAACGCTTTGATTATTTTAAACAAAAGTGCTTTTCTCTTCCTGACGCTTTGTTGCGTCTTTTAATTATTCATTAACAACTGTTTTATGCCATCTTTTCTGGGGGTGGGTTTTTGAATTACTTAATTTGGCGAACGGCTATTGGGGGAGTTTATTATTTTTATTCCCTTTGGTCTGCGAATGTACAGAAGGTATAATTTTCCGCTCGTTTGGTTAAAATCCAATTAGACGACGGTTGGTGACACGGCTCTGTTGTTTTTGATTGTACTTTTCTTCATAAAGACTTCTCGGAAGTTCCTCTTGATGAAAATGTGTATTGATCTAACTGACCCAAGGATCGCCCTCATTAATGATGGAATTGAAGCAACTTGACTCTCTAATTGGTAACTTAAACTAAACTTGCGCGTCTACTGAGGAATTACATCTCAAATTTACCCTCAATGACAGTTACATGTCTCTCGTTATTTTATTTTTCAAGTATTATCACGCTTTCTATTTTTTGAAGCGGACCTTGTTTACCTTAACTAGAGATTTAATGAGATTCATAAATTTCCTGGACCCTAACAGCACATTATGCTAATGTCTGATCAATTTTATTTCGCCTGAATTGTAAATGGAAATCGTATTTTACCTGTGCGATGATTTTAGAAAAATATGACATGTTTAAACGAACTTGTGAACAGAAGTTGTTGGAAAACCAATCTATCGTACCCCCGAGTAATTCACGGCCCGAAACCGTGAGCAACATAAACAACAATAACAACAACAACAACAACAATGTTGCTTCGGAGGCGTTAGGGAACAGTTTGGCGAAATTTTTCGGGGAACAAAATTTCGCAGGCAACCACGGGACCCTGGTGAATAAATTCAACAGCACGGAGTTTGTACCGAATGGGAACCCGTTGAGAAACTCATTGACCCAAGAACAGTCTGGGCAAATCATGAGTCCCTTAGCATCTAATTATCCCCCGATTCAGATGGAATCCATGAGCAACATGGGAAAACCAATGACGTCATCTTACAACGTACCAGTTAATAGTTCTCAGATTGCAACACAACTGCCAGATGACGATTACCACAATCACTTGCCATTGACGAAACGGATCTCAAGGCAAGTAAACCAAATGAACAATGGTTTGAACTCAATTCAGAATCCCATGATGTCAAATCAACCCAATCTTTCTGGGGGTGTGTCGATGTCAAATATTAGAACGCACAACGCAAGCACACGAAATCCCGCTAATGAAATTCATCATCAAATTTCTTTGGATTCGAATCGAAATTCAGGTTCTATAAATGGATTACAAGAGAAAAGTGTTTCGAATGAATCTACGAATGAATTGTCAATGGAAAAATTACAACAGTCTAGGAGAGACCTGGAACTTTTGACATCGGCAGCAAATCATTTGCTGAAGTCGAGTGGCAATGACGATACCAATGGACCTGATGCCGATAGCATAACAAGAGCTGCACAGGAGCTGCAAAAGTCAATTGTGCAGTTTCTACATTCAAGGCAATCGCAAGGTCAACCAAGTCAAAGCCCGCAACCACAACCTCCTCCGCCTAGGTTGTTCGCGCCGACATCAGACTCAAATTCGGTGATAGTCGGGAACGAAACGCAATCGGTGCTAAACCAGAATGTACAACCTATCGGAGTTTCTCAAATGGGAAGCGTGGGCGGTGTTTTGCGGGGCCCGCCTCCCAGGGTGTTTGACCCCCGCAAGGTGCTTTCAAGGAAAGATCCGAACCTCACCTTTGTCACAAATCCGAACCTGCCAGAACTTCCAGCTTTGGAAAAAGTACAGGTAGCTTCCAAGTTTCTTGTTGTCGAAATAGAAATAAATCAGTATTTGTCGAGCTAAATAAAAAAAGAAATGGAAATATGAAATTTTTTACTAGAAAGAGAACCTAATGTTTGTTGGAATCCAGTACTTTTGATGGACTATTGAAACATTTTTGGTATGGCGTCAACTCGAGGTTTTTTCTTAGAACACTGGATACTTACAAGGGGTTGCTTCACCAGTCTCTATGCGAGCGGCGTCAGTGAAACCAAACCAACCATTGCCCCACGCCCACCAACCGTCATCATCAACAACAACAACTAGCAGGACCAGGACGATATCTCTTCCGGCCTCGGACTGCATCGAGATCAAAGACCTCTTAGCTTCTGCGACCCTGTCATCTCACTTGAGTTCAAACCCGGCTTCTTCAGTCGACAGAAGTGACCTTTTAATACCATCACTCAGTGCGAACAAGCGAATGGTCACTCCAACAGCTTTATCAAACGCTCCTCTAGGTAACGTGATCCCGATAGTTTTTGAATAGAAAACAATTAGCTCATGACTGTTTTCGGGCATGTTTGACGCAGTTGAGTTTTTCTAAAAATGAAATTATTTCTGAAAGAAAAATAATGATTTTTCGGTTGTTATCAAGTTTTTTCAAACCAAGGTAACTTTTGATAAGTGGACGTTTTTGAGGCAAATTAAAATTTGCTATTAAAATTATGTAAACCTATAGAGCTTTCGAACAAAAATGACATTTATCAAGTAACGTGTGTGTGTAGTCTTGACTTGTCAAATAATGCTCTAACTGCTGAATCTTCTAACTCGAGTTTGATTGAGTTGCTGTTAGGAAGTTTGGGCATGTTTAGGAGTACCGTGCCCCTCAGTGACACAACCAAGTGTCAATATACTGGACAAAAAGTACAGCCAGAAGCGCCCAGTTCCAGCTTTAACCTCAAAGGTCAACTCAGAAACAACCGGCATGAAAAACTCATCGCCCAAAAAATCAGCTTTAAAGGCCGATAAAACCAGTTCGGCTAAAAGACGCAAACAAGCTTCCAACTCGTCAAATGCATCGGGTTCTGGATCCGTGTTTCAGACATCGTCAATAGCTATCACTGCAACTGCTACTAGTACGATTGTGTCAAGTGATGTTTGCACGACAGCAAGTACTATCGCTCTTAGAACCAAATCATCGACCACAAGTTGTAGTAGCGACACGTTCTCGGCAATAAGCTCGGACGAACTGGCTTGGGATGACAGTGTAATTCGGAGTCAGTGTAGTAATTCAAATCTACAGGGAAAGATCAAACGGAACCATTCTGCATCTTGTGTAAAAGAAGCAGGGAAGGAAAAAGGTTCGTTATTCTATAGATAACATCAGTGAGACCACATATTCAGGGTGGCCACGGTATCAGTGCGAAGCGTGATCTATCAGTGCCAACACATTCATATCAGTGCCAAAAAAAAATTTCCCTTTTTGTTTCATTAAAAATGGAAATTATTAAAAATGGAAGCAGGTTTACACAGTGGGATTTTTGCAGATAATATAAGTAGATCCTCTGAAAAAAAGCAACGCGGAAAATTTTTTAAAACATTTAAGATCATTCATCCACGAGGGATGGGACCAACATACGAGCTGTACAGCTCATCACGGCGAACCGCTGTTGTGCCCCTGCTTAAGAACTACATGCAATTTTTTTTGGTTATTTTTCTGGGCTGGGTAATGTTGCCTCACCCTCAAGCAACGAGCACGGATCATGGTGGGCCTCGAACATCCGACCTTTCGATTGAGAGGCGGAGACGTAACCACTTCACCATTGTGCTGGGAATATAATTTTCGAATGTTAACTGTTTTTGTTTTGGCTAGGCGAAAAATTGTCAAAAAGAGAGAAAAAAAGCTGATATAAGATCTAGCCTTCGTGTTTTTACTGGATCACGCGAAACAATTTCACTATTATCAGAATGAATTTTTTTTAGTTTGTTCAAAGTGCAACTTTTTTATTTAGTTTTTAAATGTTTCAAAGTGATCCCCCTTCACTTTGAGCAGTTTCACGCCAATTTTTTTTCTCAGAAACTCAATTTACTGAAACATAACAACGTTTTTGAACATCTGCGGGAAAATTAGTAGCAATGATGCGTACTTTTTTTGAGGAAAATGTCATGAAGAGTAACTCAATTTGAGATGAAAAAATATATATTTACATCCTGTGGGAACCCCCTGCCTACATAAAGGCAGTTCAATTTGTTTTGTTCCCCGTCAAAATGACAGTGAAAGAACTTCTTTTGTTTGCTTATTTCAATGGAGGTTGTGTGGGTTTGGGTTTGATTGCTTCAGGATCGGCTAGACGGGAGGAGAGGATGAAGCGACTGAGCATGTTGTTCCCGGACACTGATGTGGACAAGCGGAGAAATGAGGAGCGACTGCAGATGTTGAAGGTCAGATTTGTGGAGGAAGTGACTGAACAGACCTCTGTGGACACGCAAAAGACAAATATCATTCACAGGTCATTCACATTTCATTCACTAGTAATGTTATAGTTTGCTGGAGTTCGTGAACACTTTTCCGACTGTGTTGACTGTTTTTTTTTCGAGTTGGTTTCGTTCGGCTGAATAATTTGGTACTCATTAGCATCGGTTTATCTCATTGTTGCAAGAATTTGATTGCCCCAGGTTCATCCGGACGTGCGTGTGGGCGATAAGAAAATGTCAAGTTTGTTATAATAAATAATGATTTTTGCTCAGCCTTATCTACCGTAATTTCCTGTGTATATTTCCGACTAAATAATATTTTTGTTCAGCCTTGTCTTCCGTAACTTTTGCTCAGCCTTATCTACCGTGTATTTTTCCGACAAGTTAGCATAAGTTCAAATTCTAAACCAGATTGAACTTTCTGTTCGATTCAATTTTTTTTTTTTGGAAAAGTAGAAAGTATGTGTGAGCTAATTTTGAGATAAATGAGAAAACTGCTTATAAGACTGCGGCTTAGTGGAGAAAAAAAATGGTTTTCTAATTTAATTGAAAGTATGTACCGACTTAAATTCATTGTATTCAAATATGGGCTGTCATTTTTTTCAAATTTCTTCTCTCAAAAAGATGATGTGTCTTTTCAGTGGGCAGTTCATGTCCAGTCGAGTGTGGAGCAACAGAGGGAAGACGGGGGAGCAACAGAACCAGCTGAAGATACTGAAGGAACTCAAGAGCAACTTCTTTCCCTCCCTCAAGAACTTATTCACACACATCATCAACAAAGCCTACCAGTCAGTTCTACAAAATATAACAGATTAATCGATTGTTTTGCAAGTAGCTCGAATTAATCCGACCCTAGAGATGCGACTTCTGCGGATAGTTTTTGGATTTTGTTTCATTAATGTTTTCAATTTTTGGGGCTTGCTGTCAAATTTAGCTTCTCTAGGTCATTTCACATATGTAGCTTTAGTATTACAAAATTAAATATATTTTTCAGTCGCGTCACTGATTGATTTTGCTCATTGTATCTTTTTTAGCCTAAAAAGAAAATTCAAGTAGTTTTTTTTACTCTGGGAGATTTTTTGGGGGACATTTTTAATTGCGACTCGAATCACGACTGAGGGAGCTTAATTATGATATATAACTAGATATCATTTGATGTTTTTTGGTAGCTGGATTTGCGGAAAGAATGCACACGATTTATAATAAATACACAGCTCTGGTATCGTTTGCATTCTTGTTGTGATGAAAAATTTTAAGACCCCTAAAGAAAACTTCCGTTTTACACAAGCAGAGTTTTGTTATATGTGAGTTGAATTAGTATGTTAAAAACTAACCAGGCTAAAGTTTTCACAGTTTGTGGATGTTAAGTTTTGTTTTGTAGTGTGCGCCAACTGATCTCGCCAAAATGGAAGCAGTTCCGCGGCATAGACCTGGACGTGCCTTGCAAAGTCAGACTGAACAATCTTATCTGGAGGTGTTGGCATCTCCAGTGTAAGTATAACTTAGCAAAATGTTAAGGTATTCCCTTTGATGTAGTCAGATTGTATATTCGATCCTATGAAATGTATGTGTGCCAGGATGAGCTATCACTTGGCCTCCTTCTTCAAGTGTATCTCATATTGACTGGATTTGGCTTTAATAGTGGTTCAACGTGAAAGTTCTAGGAGCAAAAAAAAACGGAAAACGGCCTGACACACAAAAAGCTTCGCTCGTCAAAATATCCGCCTGCAATGCAGAAAATATTACAAACGGACTATCCGTGTAGGTCAGCGAAATTGTTGCCTTTAAATATATCCTCTTCGAATAGCAGAAGCGAAATAATTATTGATATTACTCAATTTTTCTCCCTTTTCCGAATTTTATTCAATAGTCGCTTCAAATTTTCTGCTGATTTTCCGTGTAAATGGATTAAGTTCTTCCTATTTAATTAAGGATAAAATAGCTTTGCGGTTGTTGTATGATGTTTAAAGTGCTTAAGTCTGCTTGTTCATTTTGAGTCTGCTTAAGTCTGCTTTGAATCATTTTTGAGGAGAAACCGTGCAAATACCTCCCCCCCCCCCCCCCCCATCGATTTATTTAGGGGGAAGAAAACACGAATTTTGGTCAAGATAACATTTGAAGAGAATGTTATATCAAATACAAAACAGATTTTACTCAGAGGCGAAGCTGCGCTTCGCAAACACTAGCGAAAACATGACAAAAAGCAGCTTGATAAAGTGAAATAAGAAAAAATAGAAATAAGCTTCGAATTAGTTAAACTTTGCTATGTATCGGATTGGACATGCGGCCTCGAGATTTGGATTCTCACGCCCTGCCCACGTGCGCTTAGCAATCGTGGAACACTAGTCACAAATAAAGCAGCTACAAAATGCTAATAATTTTCCAATGCGATGCAGCAAAATTTGCACCAAATATGAATAGACACAATTTTGCTTGAAATAATTTTAAATTTAACAAATTTAAGGCATCCACGCTACCTTAACATGTAATAAATTGGAAGGCATAAAACCGCATTTTGTATAAATTATGCATTTCAAAATTGCTAGATATATTGAGTTAGAAAATTTCTGAAATTGAGTTTTATGATTACTATTTTGTTTGAAACAAATAAAGCTTTTTTTGGTTCATTTGATGATTTAAAAATGCATCAACTGTGTTAACTCATTACTAATCGAATGTCAAAGTACATGCTATCAAAAAGCTGTTTAGGTGCCAATGTTTGCGACTGAAGTTGGAAAAAAAAGAATCGTCATATTATTACATTACGCTCAATGAAGCTCGATAGTGTAAAAGAAAAGTTGTATTATTATACTACGCTCACTGAAGCTCGCTAGTGTAAATATCGAAACATTATTAATATTATGATTTAACTAATTTTGTAGCCCATGACATAACAAATTGTGCGAAAAGTTTTAAAAAATATTTTGTATTTTGCGTTTGTATGAATTGCATTTTATACACAATCAGTAGCGGATTTAGAGGGGGGGGGGCCTCAGTGATTTGACCCCCTGTCGACCCAAAGGGTCCCTCTTTGTACTATTTTGAGACATCCATTTTTGGTGACGGACCCTAAAAATGTTCTAAAGGCTCCTTCGGCGCCAATATATACTAATTTAGAGGGGGGAGCGCGCACCAAAAAAACGCGATTTTTTGGTCAAAATTTTCCAAAAAGTGCCGGAATTTTTTGAAAATCTGCCCCCTCCCCCTCGAGAAATTCCTAGATCCGCCCCTGTACACAATTAATTATAGAATTAATGCATAATTGGGGAGGAAATTATTGGTAGGTCACAAGAGGGAAGGGAGATTGTACATTTGATCCATTTTTGATAAAGATAAAATAGAACATATGAACCACCCCACAATGGGTTCAAATTACCGGTCCGGTTATTATAAGAAATTTGTCGCTGTTTCAGTTTCTAAAAGGAGCAAACATCCAATGTGCAGGTTCATAGTGCCCAACGAGAAAGATCACAACCATTTAGATGCGCAGGTAAACACCTTATTCAATTAATCCCTCAATATCTCAGATGTATTCATGAGTAGATAGATATATAGACAGTAATGTATGTTAGCATCTCGTTCAGGCGCATGTTCTGGAAGGCAAGTACTGGCGCAGACAAGACTCCGCTGTCATCTCGGAGTACATGAGCTGGAGGTGGTACTACAAAATCAGAGTTAGTCTCACTCACTCGGACAGACAGAGGATAATGTCAATTGGTTCATTTCATGGTCAATTTGACTGATTTGTCTCATTCTGAAAATCATCCTGATTCTGAGTTCTCAAAATAAGCTGCCTGTAAACCGCCAGTGTCCAATTTCATCGGCAATTCTCTCGTTTTATATCATTGCTTTGCTTCTATGCAATTCAATCATCATGAAATCATGTATTCTTGATATTACTTTTGGGACCAATTTCTTTCTGCAATCAAAATCAGACAAAAGTTATCAAAAGGTTGTATTTAAAAAGCCTGCAATCGATCAACCGACTGATATTTTTTATCGAGAAAAAGTTTGAAAAAAGAAAACATCAATTTTCATTGTTTTAATTTTTTGAGCGATCTATTTTCCCACGCGGGAACAAGGAGATTGCTCAATTGATCTTTTTTCTGTACTTCTGGCATCATTTTTTTCATGGTCGCCCTTAAATGCGTTTCAATCAGAGGCTTTCATCAGCATTTAGCTGGAAATGTATTCGTTTTTGTTTTTATTTCCAACGTTACTCAGCTTTCGTTTAGAATGAGAAATGTCCTCGCAGACACGACTTCGACACGAAGCGCTTCGCTGGTCTGCAATTTCCGAAGCAGCATCACAACCTGCCCGAGACATTTGTGGGAGGGAGGAACGCCGACTTCATCCAAAACAGCCTCTCTCAGTTTCATCTGGTGTTACCGGTCGACCTTATGGATATAGAACCTTTTCAACCGAGTAAGTTGAAAGGAAGAATTACCTTTTGGTTTTGCTCATTCCGTGAATCAGATTTTTTCTTCAAACTTGTAAGTTTTTATTGAAGTAAGTAATAGACTGGCTCTTAGCAGAGTTTTGAGATTCCTTGTCTTCGCTTTGTTTTGCCCCTGAGTGAAAGCTGTTCCAGTGTATTAATTCTTTCAATTACAATTTTAACTATTTTCATTTTAATTGGAGCCGTGATTATGAACCTTATCCGAAATTTGTTTACTGCATCTTCAGACTTGGAACTAATTTAGGAAATTTCCAGCAAAATTGTAGACAAACGCTTGCATAATTTTAGCAGAAACGTGGGAAAGTTTCTTGTTGAACAAATTCTCCAATAGTCTTTGAATTTCTTTATTTGGTATGAAATTTCTGTTTGTTCATTCTAGGTTGCCACTTGTGTTCGGAAGTTAATTCTGAATTATTGAAAAAACCTCTTAGGTAAAATTGAGCTGTGAAAATATTTTTATTTCAGTGACTCCCCTCAACTTCGACTTATTGGTGAGTCATTTCAGATCTTTTTTGATCATCTTTTCAAACTTTCTTCAAACTCTAATCACATCGAATGTGCAGTTTAAGTACGATATGAAATGATAAATGCTATCACGTTAATCCCTCCTATTTGTGAAATGACCCTTAACTTCAGCTAATCAAATAAATTTGAGAGTAAAACTAAGAAATGCTCTTGAACTTTTCTATGATACAACAGTGCTTGCAAAACCGCTTGTACTGTAGCTTCAAAGGTTTAAGATAAGTTAAATGCAGACGCCCTTTCAAATTTGAAGTAATTGAAGCGAAAATAATGCAGCTTCAAATCTGCGAGTTGAAATTGGGCAAATGAAATTTTCTGTGATAAATGCACTTCGAAATATTGTTCTTTTCACGTTTTTGATGCCTTTTCTTTGTAGTATTCAAATTTTCTGTAATTTTCCAATGAATTGCTATAACCTTATAACATTTTTGTTGTTTTTTGTTATAATTTTTTTTATTATAAAACTCATCGACTGCGTTTAGAGCGCTGTTATAATTGTAAGAATAATCCAGTTAAATATCGTTAAAATGAGGAGAAATTAAGTCCAAAATAGAAATCGGAAAAAATGAATTGAGGCGACTAATTGTTAAGCTTGGTAGCAATGGCAATACAAACCGTATAAACATAATTAAAAAATCAAATCTTCTGATATTGAACCTCTGTGAAGTTGGAAATAGACATTTAATCGATTCTGGTTGGCCAATTAGGCTGAAAATTGTGCGTAATAAAAGTTTGGGAATCAGTAAGGCTAGAAAAGAATAACCCAAATTTTATTGCCTTCAGTGCGTTAGAATCATATTTTTGCCAAAGTCACACGCCCTTTATATTGATCCAATTTATTCCACTCTTAAAGAATGACCTCGTCCTTTGAATTTCCAAATTGCAGGATTGGTGTCTGAAAAGTCTTGTATTTGTCAAAAATTAAAGCGTTCTCAGGACTATTTAAAGCATCAATTTTTTAAGTTTTGCATTTCTCATATATGTAGACGTAGAGATGTGTAACAGTTATTCAAACTCGATATGAACAATTTTAATAACTCGAAATGCTTACTTAAAGTTAGTTATGAGATATAACCATGGGTATATTTTGTCTCGCAACCTAAAATTTATTTTCGATCCTATTTGAGATATCTGATGCAAACAGCATTGTTAATAAGTTTTTTTTTAACTTTTAGGACGACTTTGGAAAAATTGGATTCGACGTTTCAGAAGCTGATAAAAATTCAACTACCTCGAATTTCTTCTCACGTAAGTCCATTTTTCTTAATTTTCGGCTTTTAACAGTTAAGGATTTAAACAGCAGCAATTTCTGTACTCGAATATGAACGTGGACCTTTTTCCTAAAATTTCAAATATCTTGCAGTTTTTTAATACAGTCAACAGATCTCATTTTTACTGGCGTTACTGTAGTGCAGGTACTGCTGTGGCGATCCATTCTTGTTTGAGCAAGATGAATTTGGAAGATAATTTAAAAAGCGTTTTTCTCAAATTGGGTTGACTTTAGACAAAAAGTGCTGAGTACAAAACTTGCTTAGAATTTGTTTTGCTAAATTTGGGCCCAATATTTAACCCTAAAAATATCATTTTAAACTTTTAGGTCATTTAATAATTAAACCAAAACTTCGAAATCAGATACTGTCAAAATTATATCAAAGTGAGCCAAATTGCACCACAATAATTCTGCTTAAGTTCTAAGCAAGTTTTGTCCTCTGCACTTTTTGTCTAAAGTCAGCCCAGTTTGAGAAAAATGCTTTTTAAATTTCAACTTTGCGTTGTGTCCAGACAAAGCGAAGCTCAAATGCGCTTTTCTCTAAGAGGGTTAAGATAAGACCTCACAAATTTTACCTCGAAAATGGGTTGTTTTGGCTTTTTCAGTTAATCAAGTATTACCAAGTAAATTGATGTGAAAATTATATTCAAAGGAAACTCTTAAACAGCTCAACAAATATCTTAGAAAAATAAAATCTCCTAAAAATTTGTATAAGAGAACATATTTTGCTTGATAGCCAATAACTGTAATTTTTACTATGTAAAACTCCAACTCTTTGTTTAAAAACCAATTTTTAAAAATTTACGCATGTGTTTGAAAGTTGTACGCTTTTGAAGCTCTGTAGGGATGTGAAAGTGGCTTCTTTTGATATAACTTTTTCATCAATTAACAATGTACTCTCGGTGTAGTTTATGATTAATTAAAAAAGCCACAATCACCCATTTTGTGCTTTTCACTTTTGTCTAGTTTCAACTCAATTGAAAAAAAAAACGCGCTTGCTTTTTCAGATGTTGTTTATTGCGTCCGGTAAATTTAAATCAGCATTGTATAGGTCGTGATTTTTTTCTTTTTACTTTTCAGGAGAAGTCTTAAAATTAGTTCACGCTTATTTTTTTTCGCAGTTTGATTTTTTTAAGAATCAGTTCCTTTAAAAAGACGGCAAACTCTACGACCGAACAGCTTCTAGTTTTGAAAGTGGAATTCAATGATTACATTTGTGAGCTTAGTATTAAAGTACGACTATTCTTTTTTCCGACCTAAGGCGCAATTATTGGTACCATTTTTGGGGAACCTTGCGGTTTTTTTTGATAGCATATGCTTTGATAGTCGACAAGTAATAAGTTATCACAGTTGATGCCTTTTTGATTCATCAGACGAACTGAAAAAAAGCTATTTGTTTTAAACAAGTCAATAAAAAAGTTCCATTTCAGAAATTTGCCTGCTCAATATATCTGACTTTTTTAATATAATGAACAATTTATTTACAATTTGGCTGTGTGCTTTCCAATTTTATTACATGCAAAATTAGTGCGGATACCTTTAGCTTAGTATATTCCAAATTATTTCATGCAAATATTGTTTTTATATATATCTGGTGCATAGCATTGGCATTTTTTTTACACTTGTAACTGCTTTATATGTGACTAGTGCTTTTAAATTGTCAAGGGCATGTGGCTCACATACAAGGACAGGGGACTCTGAATCTCCTGGTCGTAGAATAGAACACATCACAGCAGAATATTTAATTTCCAAGGCTTCTTTTTTCTGTTTCTATATTTCACTTAATAATAATTGATTTTTGTCGTTTTCTCGCTAGTGTTTGCAAATCGCAGCTTCGCCCGTTTGTCATAATTCCCAGCGATACCTATTGGTTAAGAGTAATGAAGGTAGTGAGTACTCTTATAAAGGTCTTGCTGATTTTTTTTTCAGGAAAAATTATTAAATTTTTTCTTCCCGCTCAATTTTGATTTAGTGGTTTCACTTGTGATTTTTTGAAGTTCAGTGCATTTCTATTGTTTAAAGGACTGCAAACTCCACTATCGGACAGCAAAGTAGTAAAGGTCCCGAAAAACGTGATCGACTTCTAATTCTTTAGTTTTTTTTTTCAGTTTCCTTGCGTGCATTACTCTTTTCCAACAATCAGTTGGCTATGTTCCAGTTTTTTTTTCAAATTGGCTTAAGTTTATGGAAAAAGTGTCTATCATAAACTGTTCTGGTTTTTCAAAGAACTTAAAGACAATCACTTTTTTTTGTAAATTCTAAAGTTAAGACAAAAAATCAAGTCAACATTTTTCTGTTTACTTGCGTTGATTGATTTTTTTCCAACTGTCTGTTGGCTATGTTTTCTGAAGAGCAAGTGAAGTGCAACGTCGCCTCGATAAAGTTGTTTCATTGGTCTAAATCGGAAAAATGTGCCCATTCAATTGAAGGGCTGAAAGATGCGAAAATTACTGTATCGGTATTAAAGGTGCTCCTTATTTGGTGGCATCTTTGTATTTTCTATTCGATTGCTCCATAGCATTTGCTCCATAGCATTATCACACTTGCAAGAGCAATTGACTTGTAAATTAGAGTTGAGCCCTTTTTTTTCCTGTCTACAATTTTTCTTACAGGCGACAGATCTCTGGTTGGAATCCCTACCGGACCTTGTTTTGTTTTCCATCATGTATGTATGTATCAATGTATGCCTAAATGTACGTATGCATGTATTTATGTATGAATAGGTAATTATGTATAAATGTATATATGTTTGTATGTATGTATTTATGTATGTATGTATTTGATGCATGTATGTATTTTATGTATGCATGCATGTATATATGTATGTTTGTGTGTATGTATGCTTGCTTTTTTTATACCTTGCTTTTTTGAAATCTCAACTTCTTTCAGACCCGATATCTTTTGGTCTAAAGTAAAGCACGGGCCTTGGTAACATACGGTCTGGGGTTTGAGTCCGGGACGGACCTTGCTAATTTTTTAATGCATGGAAATGATTTTTGTGGAAAACTATCTTTTGTCTGCTTTTTTTTGTCGACTTACTGCCTAATGCATGGAGTTTTTTCAATGCATCTTTTTTTTCAAATTTTTTATTTTGTCAATTCCAACTGTTATTGAAAGGTGGTCTGTAGTTCGTAAATTTACCAAATTTGATAGTGTGTATATTTATTTACCAAATTTGATAGTGTGTATATTTTTAATTGAATGGGTTCTGTTTTTGCTATATTGACTTGTTGATCTCAATTTGTGGGTCGTTTAAAATGCAAAAATAGTTTTCATGCTTTTGTGCGTTTCAAAAATTGAGGCGTAAAATTAATTAGCTCAAAATTTTTCTGTTCATTTTTTTGGCCTAATTGGTCTCACCCTAAGATTGTCTGCTTAGTTTCTACTCGGCAAATGATTTTGAATACTGATTTAACGGTGAAGATGGTGTTTTGTGGCGTATTTTCCTCAGAATACAGAGCATTCGCGAAAAAAAATTTTTTGAGTTGAAAAAATGTCTTCGACTTAATTGTTAATCTTAGTTGCGACTTGGATTTTTCAAAAAAAAAGAACGATTTTCTGTCTGCGAATTTACAGCGCTATCTTTGTGTTGTATCGCATGTGATTCGAAAATCTCTTCGCCTCTGTGTATGTTTGTATCTGGCTTATTGGTAGCTAGTTCTTGTTTGATAAAAATAACAGGTATTTTGAAAATGTCTGGGAGTTGGGTTTTTTATTATTAATTTTTGAGACGCTTTTGATAGTTTTTGCTTTTCGCAAAAACTTCGACTTTTCTCGAGAACTACCCTGCCGATTTTCAAAAAGGAGGTATCAATGGAGAAACCGGCTACTCCCCTGTGTGCCTGGATTTTCTGCTAGTCTCTTTTTACTTCACCGGACGTTCTACGATTTACGAAAATTTTACTGGGGGGTTTCGACCCATTTTTGTTCCGACTAATTGATAAATGTGGAGGAACTTTGTATTCGGGTGTGTTTTAGTTTTTTCTTTTTTTGTTTTCACCGCAATTGCAGGAATCACAAATAGTTATCGGAATGGTTCGAGTGATCTATAATATAAAAGACCTTTTAGTCGAGATTCGAACGACACTTGAGAATTTTCCAAACATTTTTCCCATTAAGAAAAACCGACTGAAATTTTTTAGTCCATTTTTGAGCGATCAAAGTGATTGAGTAACATTCGTTATATATAAGTATTGGCCATTTAGGCTGAAAAAAACTTCATTTTACTAAGATGAAAACCAATTTTGGAAGCTTCATTAAGAATTTTCTTGGCAATAAAAATTTTCATATTAAGTTTTTTGTTTATTTATTTTTTGAACCCAATTTATGCTCAATTCACTAACTTTTCACGCGTTTGTATGGTTCTATAATCTCACCACGCAGAAGAAGCGACGCTAATTTGAAGATAAAAAAGTTGCAGTTTTTTATGAATGTGGTCGGAACATTCTGTGCTATTTGCATGGCAATCCTGTTTCGATTGTTTTTTTTTCGAAAATTACCCTGCCGAATCGGATGCTGACGGTTTAATCAAAAGAACAAACTTTTTTGAATGTTTGCTGCCCGAATGGTGTCGTCCTAATTTTTTAATGTTCAATTTCCCAAAAACGACCGTGCCAACTCTAAAAAAAATAGAAATTAATCAAAGGGAAATGTCTTCTCCCCTGAAAAAATGTGTTACCTGTATTTTTGATAGGAAACAGCTATGGACTTGGTAAAAATCTAGTTTTGACAAAGCTGGGCTCCTAGTGTGAAAATTTTGTTAAGTCACCATGGATGGCGCAGATTCTAGGACGTGTGACTTTTAATCCACAGGTCGAGGGTTTGATTCGGAAACATAGCAGGATTGTTATTAGTTTTATCTTTTCTTGCCTTATATATTTTTGGTTCTTTAAGAGCTGTTTTTTGGCACTTTTTTCGCTTGTATTGTGAAGTGCAGCTTCGCCTCCGAGTGAAAAAGACCTCAAATCGAATGAGTTCCTCTAGAATATCAAATTTGTTATGTGAGTTATAAAGATCCCCAAAAAGTTCTTCAATGAATGATGGGGAAAACTAAACAATATTTTCTTCACAAAATGAATGTAAAGTATTCCGTTCTCTAAATTATTGCCGGTTAGACTGTCAAATAAAAGATAGTTCAATTAAAGTTTTGTGTTTCAGCCATGCACGGTGAGAGTGAGAATCTGGCATCAGTAGAGCGACTAGACAGTGTGACCGCGATGTCCTCCATAGACTCCAACGAAGATCCATCCGGACTTCTTAAGGACGCTCCCCTCTCTCTCTCGCCACCAGAGGGCGAAGAGCAGGAAGGGGCGCCTCAATCATCTCTTAGCAGCAACAACTCACATCTGTCTAACAACTCACTCTCAGGTTAGTTCGTTTCAAATTGTCAATAACAGTATCTAATTCCTGTTTAAGTGGCAAAGCTGATTGCGCTCTCATTGCAATCAAAATGGTTCATTTTTTGCTATGATAACGCTTTTGTTTATTAAAAAAATTTAATGACACTGACACACATAGAATCACAGAACATAGAAGTTTGTCTGTTTTAACTGTTTCGTTGAAAAGTTTGATTTGTTCATAATATGATTCTTGTAAACTGAATTGCATTGAAAATGTTGATTTGTTCATATGATTATGGTAAATCGAATTGTCCTCTACCCTCTAAAACTGTTATTTGAAAGCTTAAACCAACTGAAAACGGTGCATGTTTTTGCATGTAGTCTCTTTAACAATTTTTAACTGGCGTGTTATAGTTTCTGCTATGACCATTTTATCGACTTCTTATCTGAAGTACTTTTTTGGCTTTCTAGGAGCTAATCAGACGGGATCCCCAGGATTCCTGCAACATGGGCTACTGGAAAGCTCAGATGTTGGGCAAAACGACGCTTTGCTTTGCTCTAATCAGAGAATGATGTGCCACCTTGGTTCAGACAACAACTTACGTCAAAACAATTGGAATGTCAACAGTTTGAAAGTAGAGCCGGAAACATCTCAGGAGGTCGTGTACTTGGATGGAGATGTTCAGAAGAGGAGAAATGCCGTGCATAGAAATATATCGGCAGATGATTTTGGGACTTTCGGAACCGTGCAGACTATCGATCCGGAATTCGCGATTGAGAGAGATTGTGCATCTATGCCGCATACTTCGCTATATACATCTGGAATGTCTGGGGAGATGCTTAGAGGCAATGCTTCGATTACGTACGGGGAGCCAGCTGTGTCGCTTCAAAGCCGAGAGTTTCCAAATTACCACCTGCACCCGATGAATCAAAGCGAAACTTGCGAGGAATCGGATGATGGTTCAGGTAAGATATATTGAGCTGCGATTTTACTTCAACTTTAAAGAATATCTATAGGGAGAAAGAGGTAGCGGGAACATCACGCCATTGATGAAATAATAAACCATTTTTTGCGGGGATTGCTGCTTGCTGTGATCATTTTAACTTTTGCGATTAAAACAATATTTATTGACTATATTTAAATTTCGAAATGGAAAAGCAGAAAGAGGCGGTCAATATGCTGATTGAGTTGAAGCAAATCTACGCCTTCTATTTTTGGATTTTTTATCATCTTCGCAAATTCATTTCAGACTCCGGAGAATCAGGCTCAGATGGTCAACAAGACCACCTCTTATCCTCCTCTTCTCAAATGAACCCAATGTTAATGTCCAATCCATCATCAAACCCAAATCTTCTAACTATGCAGTCGCATGTACCGTCTTATTCTGGAAGTATCAATGGTCCCATGTCTGTGCCTCCACAGTTGTCTCAGATGCAGCAGTCGGGATCCTTGTTGCACGGGCAGCTAAATGCCATGCTTGCCGCTTATCCTTATGCTCTATCACACGGGGGACAAAATATCTCGAACGTCCAAGGACTCAGAGGAGCTGTAGTTGAGGATCCTTCGTTGGTGCCTGCAACTTCTGGGCACCAATTGATATTCAACGGCCAAGGAGGACAGCCTTCGATGTTGTCGCCTGGAGGACAAAACATGCTGCACTTCCAAGGAACTTCATCGATTGGACCTGCGCCTCATATTGTTACTCCAGGAACGCCAAGTGGAAACGAATCGTCGCCAATCGCGCTTCTATTGAGTCAACAGAGGTCTCAATACCAGCAGCAAGGTCAAATGTTAGGATCCCATTTGCCACCTGAATCGCCACTTCAGAGATTCATGCCAACCACAACCAACGGCGGCGGAAATTCGACAGAAGCAGCGGCCGCAGCAGCTTCGATATCGCAAAATGCGCCAATGTTGAAAGGAATTCTGGGCCAAGTTCATTCTCCTAGTGGGACGTCGACATCGTCCGGAAGACCAGGAAGTTCATTTGTTCCTCCTGGAGAAAACAAACAAGTTGATCATGATGAAATGAAGGTAAACCATTCAATTTTTCAAGTTATAGTTGACGACCAAAACATCGATTAAAGGAGTTCAATCCTTGCTTTACTATGCTGGAACTGGTTTACATTGTTAGTCTTATGTTTCAGTCTGTGTATGACAGCATAGATCCTTCAGTGGTGAAGTATCAGAGACTTCGAGACAAAACTGCCGAAGAACTGACTTTGCACAAGGTGAGAATTTTTCACATTCTTTTTTCCCAATTGCCAGGCTATGGGGTCGTCATTGCCACTGAGTTTCAGCAAACTAGATTTAATATTCAGCAGTTTTTTCCCCTGCGATTTGCCCTTGCATTTGGTTTTGCCCTTGCGATCCGAACGGGTGTTGCAACCGGTACTAGACTTTTTCCTGTAATTATATTTGCTCACATAATAATGGCCAAGGAGTGTTAGATTTCACGTGCAGGCTGCTGACATGCTCAAACTCTTGAAAATTTAAATAAAATTACCATCGTTTAGTTCAGGTAGTAATTATGTTGATCTTTTCAGGCAGTAATTTTTTAATTATTATTTTTTAATGTTGAATTTTTTTCGGATTTGTGGTTTTCGTTTGCGTCAATTTTGTTCTGATTTGAGTGATGGATTTGAATGTAAATGCCAACATCAATTCAAAGATTGATCGGGTGATGTGTTATGCTAGGAGAGGAGGGAAAAGGTGCACCAGATGTCGGAGAGGAAAAGACGCCACAACATCCAGGTAGCTCTTAACAGCTTGCAGGAGAAGCTGCCCCCGAACAGCGAGCACAGCAAACAGTGCAAAACACGTGCAGTCATACTCACCAGAGGTAAGAGCCCTTCTCCTTCGCCCAAACAGTTCCTGCTTCATTTGTAAATGTCAATGAACGAAAGGAAGACACTTATGCAGGCCGTTTTCTATTCGTTTTTAAAAGTCTAAAAAGATAGATGTTAAGGCTTAAATTTGATTTTCGTGTTTTGATTTTTTTGTTCACTCGAGATTCATTTGCAAAATGGAAGGTAGTTCAATCTGATAGAGGTTTAAGGTGATAGTATATTTCATTCTAATTTGGTATTCCTAGAAAATGAGTCGACACCTTGAAAGAAAATAATTTTGATTGAATCTGAAGTAGGTGTTCAAGTGCCCCAATGAGTGAATAACTGGTCCCTTGCAATATTTCAGCCCAAAACTACATTGAAAGTATGGAGGAGGAGCGGGACACTTTGAGACGAACTATCTTCCAACTGCGCTCTGAGCTGGGCAGAGTTAACCACGACATCAGGTGAGAGGCAGCTGGGACAGGGTGTTGGTGACATGGTCTTAGTAGTTTAAGGAAATATATTAAATAAATTCCAGATTGAACATTCGGTCTTCAAGAAGTATATAACAGTGCGATAACTAACAATGAAAAAGCGTTGTCTGGAAAGGAGTATGTTATCTTTATTTATTCTGCCCAGTTGTCAATAAACCGTGAGGCGACTAGTGGCAGCTATTCAAAAAACGACAACTCGTAGCAAAGCACTTTGGCATTGCAATGAAAACTAGAATTCTAAGTAATTTGATTTAGCTATGCGAAGCTAGGATATTGGGTACAGAATGTTTTACGGAAGTAATAATAAATCAATCCTCATTAAATTGCCTTGCGACGAGTTCTCGTTTTTGTTCATTGCGCAGAAGTGTCACTTGTGATGAATTGTCGTCATGCTCCCAAAAAATCTACTGAACTTTTAAAATAGACCAAAATTTTTGAAAAATGAACATTGTAACTGAATTTGTTTTTTTTTCAGACAAATCCATCAGCTGTTGCCAACCGACCAAGCAGGTCTTCCTGAAGACTGCACGCTACCGGAACAAACTGGATCAGTGATGAGACAGCAGTTCCAGAACTACCTCTCAGAGAATAGCCAACACGGATGGTCCTTCTTCATCTTCAGCCATCTGGCCAGACGCTTCTTCGAGTCATTCGTCAGTTGTGTGAGACTTCAGAGCTTCGATCGCTTCTCGGAGTCAGTTGCTAGCTGGGTGCAACATCACTGCACTATGGTTAACATAAGAGGAGGTATAGTAATAGCTTTGTTTCATAAACACTTAAAATGTGAAGGATATTATCTAGCAGAAGATCGTTTTTGAGCTGTAGTTTATTCATGTACAAGCTAATAACTTGAGCTACAAGTTCTTTTTTATTAAATGACGATAAGGTAGGCTGACTTTTTAAATCGTAAAGCGTTAACATTTTGGACCACAGTATAAGCTTTCCAAGTTTTGAATTTTCAAAACGATGCTTCGATATGTTTGAATTAGGATATCTTAGTTGTGTGTTTCAGTTGTGACGGAGTCTTTGACAGAGATGTGTGGGAAGGAGATGCCATACGCCTCCACGTCATCCATACCCACCATGCCAGTCCACCAACTCTACACCAGCAGTCAAGCACCCCCAGTGGCCACCGCCCTCGCAGCCACACCCACTTCCACCCTCCCACTGAGACGACACACTATGGTAGCTCCTATCGATCAACTGGTAGCTTCCACTTCATCAATGTCTTCTGCTGTTTCATCAAGAAACGACTTCGGATGATGGTCGTCCAAAAGAACCCATTCGAAATCAGTTGTTTGTTTTGAAGGATGAGGGATGTTGAAAAGAAAACTGATGATACTAGTCCATAATGATGGCCTATTCGAAACTGATAACTTGTTTTTGTTTTCGCATAACTGCCAAAAATGTTTACTGGTCGATTAGATTGGAAAGTTCACTATCATGCTGTTCGCGTTGACTTGGTTGTAGGTTGTAGTAACGTTAGTTTGTTAGTTAGTCAAGCTCATATCTATCTTCTATTACCCACGATATCTTCTTTTCTCTTCTCGTTGTAGTTTACTGATGTTTCTTCTCTCGACCACTTAGAAGGTGTTGTCTTCTTCGTTCTCAAGTGTCTTTTACAGTTTATTCTATATTGCAAAGTTTATTTTACTGTTCTCGGAAATGATTTGATATTTCTTCTAGCTTTATCTTTGTTGCCCTAATCTGCATATCTGAGATTAATAATGATGTAATTGCAATTCAGTTCAGCTGAACTTTTGGTTAATATAATTTTCAATTCAATTGTTTCAAGAGCAGTCTATAAACGCCAAGGGCTATGGCGCAGAGAACGAATTAATCCTAACGAGGAAATTAAATTTCCATCGATGTTGGCCGCATGGTACTTTAAAGTCAATGAACGAAGTGAAGAAGCTTATTTAGTTTTTTGCGTTTTGAAACTCAACTCATGTTCGTAGAGGCTTGTAGAAGCAAACAGCGCTCTACAATAAGAAAAAAGCAAAGGACTCAAAAATTTGAATGTAATAAATTCAAACATTGGTTTTTAAGATTGCACCGCAGTCAAAAGTTGCCTATTGATCGAGAGCTCTCAAATTGAGTAAATTTTATCAAAAAAGTCATTAAGTTCTAAAGATTTAAGTGAAAATTGTGTTATTGAAAAATTGTCAAAAAGATGAACATATCTATATTTCAGACTTAAATAGGTCGCTAAGATTTTTCCTTAGAAAAATACGAAAAGAAAAATTAGCGCGACCTATACAAGAGTCTGAACTACCTTCAGCGACGCGTAAAATTTGTCTTCAAGAAATTCTATGAGGCCTAAACATCAACTTAAAGCTCTTAAGAAATTTCCACAAAAACTAGCACCATAGTTTCGGTAAAAATCGAAGCAACTTTTGTTTTCTTCATTTTTTGTCTAACTTCAACCCAGTTACAGAAAAATGCGCTTGAATTTTCCGAAGTTGTTTGTCCCGTCCGATTAATTTAAACCATTACTGTATAGGTCGTGATGATCTTTATTTTTTGAAACTTAAAAAAAGCAAAAAGTTTGTTCAGGCGCAAAGTTACATTTTTGCAGTTTGACTTTTGATTTCTTCTTAAGTTCAGTTTGTTTCCTTTGTTAAAAGGAAGACAAACTTCACAGCCGAACAGAAAAGTGTAAAAGTCAAAAGTTTGATCGTTTCTTTAATTTTCAGATTTCCCAGCTAATTAAAATTTTCACTTTTTGATCAGTTTTCTCTAATTGGGTAAATTTTATTATAGTTGCGAAGCGGGTGTATTAGAAGGAACCTTCTTTTTTTTCCAAATATTGGTGCGGCTCTTTATTATGCGGCATCCCAATAATGGTAGGGCACTTTACAGCTTTTTGATAGCATGGGCGTTGACATTCGCATAGTAACAAGTTAACACAGTTGATGCATTTTTAATTCATCAAATGAACCAAAAAATGTGATTTGAATCCAAAAACAAAAAAATAATGAAGACTCCAGTTTAAGAATTTTTTCTAACTCAAGATATCTCGCAATTTTTTGAAATTCATAATTTGTACATAATGTTGTTTTATGCTTTGCGATTTGTTACTAGCAAAGTTAGTGTGGATGCCTTCAGTTTTTGTTATATTGATAGAGCTGCTATTTGGTCGTGTTCTCGCAAGCTTTTGTGAAACGCAGCTGCGCCTCTGTGTTAAAAAATGTCAAAATAAGTTGTTCTGGAAACTCGAGGACCTTCAAGGGCATCTATTTTTTTCTTCGAACTTTGAAAACTGCGAAAATATAAAGGTCACGAAAAACGTGAACGGCTCTATTTTCAAAATTTGATTTCTTTAATCAGATTTCCCAGCAAAAAAGTACAAACTAATCCACTATTTTCAAATTGAGTTATTATTTTTTAAAGTGTCAATCATAAATTCTTTCAGAAGGTAAAAGAGCGGTAATTCCTTCTTTCTTTCCCGAAATTCGAAAGTTGAGATTTTTCCAACAAATTAACTGGCATTTTCTTTTGTTTATTTGCGTTCATTGACTCTTTACTAACTGTCTGTTGGCTATATTTTTCTTTGAATTTCAAAAAGTGCAATTTTTTCAAAAATAAATTGTTTTTACATCCATGCTTGTTTTGACATTTTTCCAATGTATGTTTAAGTTTTCCAGCAAACTTTTGAAGTTTAAAACCTCTAAATCAACTAATTTTTTCCTGATTCAAGTATCTGTGAAAAATGCAAAAAGCTCAACAAAAAAGATCAGATTTTTTTTTGGTTTGGCGAGTATATGAACTTTGTTGAAACTGCTTTGTGCCAGGTCAAAATTCCAGGCTAGCAGAAAACGCCTAGTAAATTAAAAATGGTGGCCTAGTGTTGGCTGAAGCGTTGGCTGTGATTTAAGTGTCGTGCAATCGATTACGCACCTAGGATGATATGTGACGGCGAACTCCCACTTTGTTTTTATATTCAGTTCGACCTGTAGTCAAGTAATTTTGTCTCAAGAACAGCACAAACAATTATGCAAAAATGGTGTAATCTGGCTTAAAAAAACTTCACTTCATTGAATGATTCAGTGATAAGTGGACAAAAAAGATTAATAATTATTCTCAAACAGAATTAGCAATCTTTGATACTTCCTCTTTAAGTCGTAGCAACGAAAATTTAAATGCGCTGGATAATTTGCTTCTTTATGAAAAATTAAGAACGCAGTGAAGATAACCTTAAGTTAATAATATCTGGAGTCAATGGGCGTTTTATGTAATGATTGTCATCTAACATTGAAACTGTGTTTTGTAGTGTGTCATGTAACAGTGAAATAGTTATTATATAGCTATTTTATATTAACCTCAATTCTGATCAGGGTGGTCGACATAATGGTCAGGGTGGTCAAGTTTTTATGTCTGGATGAGTTGCTTTAGCCAATTAAGATTAATTAATTGCGTTGATATTGCCACATGAGGCTCTGTCTTCTTGTAATTCAAAAAATTATTTAAGTTTTCCTAGTTTTTTGAGTTGGGGGGGGGGGGGGTGGAGGGATGTGGGTTTTGGTTTGTTTTTTTTTAAAGTTTTTAAAGTATATCATACTCTAGTTGGTTGAAATAACGAAATGAACAGGGTCAAACCATTATCAGAATCGTGAAAACGTGCGTAGAAACAACAGCAGAAAAAATTGCTTAATTCGAATTGTTTAATTCTAAAACACTCCAGTGAAAATCAATTTTTTACTCCTAAATATAAATAGTCTCAAAATTTAAAAAACTCAGTTCAAAATTTCTCATAACCGATTTCGCAATTTCAATCAACGTTCTTTTAAAAAAGGGTTTGAGTTTTTGATGGAACTTAGATTTAAGTGAAATACAAATGAAATTTTTCTCAGCTTCTGTGGTTTTACCGAAAAACCCAACTTCTGCTTTTCCAAGGTGCGATAAAGAATAATCTTAATGACAGTAGCGGACTTAGGGAGATGCGTATGGCGGACACCCTCAATTGGTAGCAGGACAATTAATTCTTTTCCAATCTACCCTATGCCAATTTACCCTATACCATTTAACCTACGCCAATTCACCTTATGCCAAATTACCCCACAAACAATTTTTATCATTTATCTCCCTCACCTCGCACCCCAATACCACCTTGGCCTACCCTCACCGCGCACACCAGTAAAAATTAGCGCGAACTTTACAAGAGTCTGAACTACCTTCAGCGACGCGTAAAATTTGTCTTTGAGAAATTTTATGAGGCCTAAAGATCAACTTAAAGCTCTTGAGAATTTTCCACAAAACTAGCACCATACTTTTGGTAAAATTCGAAGCAACTTTTGTTTTCTTCATGTTTTGTCTAACTTCAACCCAGTTGCAGAAAAATGCGCTCGAATTTTTTCGAAGTTGTTTGTCCTGTCCCATTAATTTAAACCAGCACTGTATAGGTCGTGATGATCTTTATTTTTCGAAACTTTTTGCTTTTTTCTAGTGAAAGTCCTAAAGTTTGTTCAGACGCAAAGTTAAGTTTTTGCAGTTTGACTTTTGATTTCTTCTTAAGTTCAGTTTGTTTCCTTTGTTAAAAGGAAAACAAACTTCTCAACCGAACAGAAATATGTAAAAGTCAAAACTTTGGTCGTTTCTCTAATTTTTGGATTTCCCAGCTTGTTAGAACTTTCCTTTTTTGATCATTTTTCTCTAATTAGGTAAACTTTATTGAACTTGCGAAGCGAGTGTATTGGAAAGAACCTTCTTTTTCCCAATAATGGCATCCCAAAAATGGTTGGGCACTTTTACAGTTTTTTGATAGCATGAGCTTTGACATTCGCATAGTAACAAGTTAACACAGTTGATGCATTTGTAATTCATCAAATAAACCAAAAAAAGTGATTTTATTCAAAAAACATAAAAAAGAGGAAGACTCGATTTTGAGAATTTTTTAACTCAAAATATCTCGCATTTTTTTGAAATTCATAATTTATACATAATGTGATTTTATGCTTTGCGATTTATTACTAGCAAAGTTAGTGTAGATGCCTTCAGTTTTTGTTATTCCAAATTGTTACATGCATAATTTTTTCTGTTTGTATTTGGTGCCACTTTTGCTGAATAGCCTTAGCAAGTTATCAGCAAATGTAGCTGCTTTATTCGTGACCACTGTTTTTTGGTTGTTAAATTTGCGTGGCTGAGTGAGAATAGTGCGTTAGCCTCAAAATCTTTTGATTGCATAAGGTCGCGGATTCGAATCCTACACGTAGCCGACTATTTGCTAGTTTGAGGTTTTTTGCTACATTTTATTATTTCATTTGATAGAGCTGCTTTTTGGTCGTGTTCTCGCAAGCGTTTGTGAAACGCAGCTGCGCCTCTGTGTTAAAAAAAACCAACATACATTGTTCTGGAAACTCGAAGAGCTTCAAGGGCATCTATTTTTTTCTTCGAACTTTGAAAACTGCAAAAATGTAAAGGTCACGAAAAACGGAACGGCTTTATTTTAAAAGTTTGAATTCTTTTATCAGAGTTCCTAGCAGAAAAAAATCAATGTAATCCAAAATTTTTGAATTTGATCTGAGTTATGATTTCTTAAAAGGTAAAAGAGCGGTAAATCCTTCTTTCTTTCGCGAAATTCAAAAGTTGAGATTTTTTCAATAAATTAAAAGGCATTTTTATGCTTATTTGCGTTTGCGTTCATTGACTCTTTACTAACTGCCTGTTGACTATATTTTTCTTTGAATTTCGAAAACTGCAATTTTTTCAAAAATAAATTGTTTTTATTTCCGTGCTTGTTTTGACTTTTTTCAATATATGTTTAAGTTTTCCAGCAAAATTTTGAA